ATATATATATATATAATTGCTTTTCAAACTATTAATGTTACAAGCTTATTCTTTTTTCTATCAACATACTCACACCAATGTAGAAATCGTTTCGAGATTGCCAGATGAAGAAAGATTTAACAAAGTACATTTGAACAATTCGATTTGACTAATGCGATTGTTCAATTCTTTCTCAATTCGAGATATCAGAGCAATTTTTAGCATTGTGAACACATAAGATTTCAAGAGAAGAAATTTTCTGCTGTTCTGAATAAATCACATCTTCTGTATTTTTATTACTTTCAACTACGCGCATGCTATCAATAGTTGGTATAAGAATTGGTTTACAATATAATTAAAATGCATTTTAGAGAATGATATGTAAAATATATTTCTAATGTTCTCTACATAATTTTCAATACACGTTGCAAAACTTTTTCACATATTTATATAAATAATTTAATTTTATGTCATCATGGCATGTATTAGATAAGTGATATATTAAGATTATTAAGTTATATATCTGATGTCATCATTAATTTCGATTGGCAAGCAACACAGATACATAGCCCGCTGATGTTTTTAGTAACTGAAACATTTAATTATTTAACGGCAAAGTATCGAAGACTTGAAAGAAATACATTAACAAATTATAAGGAATACAAGTTATAATAATATCATTGTTTCATATAATTCAAGTAAAATAAAGAAAAAGACTATTGCATATTTTATGTTTTATATAACTTACATTACAGAACGTAGACATTGTCATCGGGAATGTTTTTCCCGCTGTAATATTAAGTGGTTTCTTTGTACGGAGCATAATTAATGTCAAATTTCTTGCTGCTTTTGGCTCCAGAGTGTACCATACGTACTCATGTGTGGCGCGATGTATTTTTTCAGACTGACAAAAATTTATTTCATTATGAAAGGATTTGTTTATTATTAAAGGATTAATTTCTCGAATGGGGAAGAAATAGTTTTAATTATTTATTTAAGTGATACTTAATTATAGAAAAATTAGATTTATTGAGAATTAAAATTAATTGTTACTACAAAAAGTAGAATATTTTAT